TGCAGAACATTCTTAAGTAGGTTTCTTATTACTATTCCAAAATCGCTCAACTATTCCAAAATCGCTTTTCCTTTTTCTCCCCCTTTGCCAGTTTGGAAATCCGACCCCCACCCCCAATCAGGGGCGTTTCTTTCCATGAAAAACACCTAATAGTTTTTAATCCCTCAGACTCATTTTAATCTGTGATGGAACAAGAGGCTGAGATCAAATCCGTAGGCCACTGAAAGCAAAATGGCACAATGGCCAATAGAATTTACACTAAATCCCATTCAGAGGCCTCTGCGAACCCAAGGCGCCACTATTAAGGAAACTGTAGAATTATCCATAAGATTACCCGCCCAAAGCACTTTGATCCCAATTTATAATCAGGAAAAAATAATAATCACAATATGCTCTCATCATGATTATGCCACACACACGACATAATAGCTGAATCAGAGATTAAGGGTATGAATAATGGCTGTCGATGTCATATAGTATGTCCAGTTTTATATTAGCCAATTTATTCACACAGTTAATATAGAGCCTGTGGGAACTGTGGGAAGGCAGACAACGATGTTATGGCAGTGTCGAAAGCATTTTCTGTTTTAGAAAACACAGTTGCACAAAGTTTCTTTACTCTTTACTCTCTGGCACCTGAATCATGAACAACAAGCCTGTCTATCTGCCTCTATAATAATCAATCGGACTGTCAAAATGATGGCAACCATGATATATTAACCCCCCAAAGAAACTTACCACTCTATGCATTTTTGTTTTTAGGACAATAAAGTATACATTTTTGGATTAAAATGAATGTTTTATCTTAATTTTATTTTAATTGATCTCTCAATACCGACTATGTTATATATAGTGACTTTGACTGTTGCTTGCAAATCATGTCTTTAGAGAGAGATTTGATTGAACAAATTGATGAGTTTGAGATTGATGAGGGGATAAAACCTGTTGGAAGAAAGAGGACAGAGAGAAAGAAAGCCATATGCCCCATTTATCAAGATGACAGCAACTTCAAGACCTTGGTAAACTGGAAGAACATCATGCAGTGGCATTGTAGTGGAGTCAAATCGTCGAAAGGGATGAATCAAGCTTTGTGTTGACCACCTTGATATCAGCCAGTGTGGCACAGACATTCAGAATGAAAAACTACTTGAGGTCTACAACAGGCCAAAGGGGAGATCCAGGAGAGCTGGTCAGGGCAGGAGCGTCTGGTCTCTACAGAACTCCACCTGTAGTGATTGATAGCAGCCTGACTGCATGATGCTACACTGATCAAGTCCTGGGACCCCATGTGCTGCCCTTCCTGTGGGCTCATCTGGATGTAACAGCATTCCAGGAGGACAACACAGATCCTCATGCTGTTTGGGTACAACAGCTTCTTGAGAGATCAAGGACTCAAAGACCTGTTTATCCCAATTCTATGGGAGGAATGGGACAGAACTCCAGAAGACAGCATCTACAACCTCGTGCAAAGCATGCGTCTCAGACATACAGCTTAAATTACTCCTGACAGTGACCACAGACCTTGGAAAGCCTGAGACTTTCACAGCAGGCCCCCAGTTAATCAACCCTGGTGATGATAAATGTGTATCAGCATAATGAACTTAAGTGTGTCACACGTATCCAAAAAAAATGTCAGTGCCCCTGTTACAGCAAAGATATTGGGGTTGATATGATAACTGCATGATTTGGTTGCATTTGTAAATGATGTGTTTATTTTGATGTTCAGTAAAATTATTCAATTACAAAATTTGTTTTGCTAAACATCAACGTTTTAGGTAATTTTATGGGTAAATATGTCTGAGGCAGTTTGTCATTCATCTGGGGTCGTGTGGGAAGACTCTGCTGCACGTTCTGCTTTCAAAGATTTTAAAAGAAATCTTTCCAAAATGACTTCAGAATATTTGTACAGATTGAATTCACACATTCCTGTACATCTGGGCACTACGTCTGACCTTGCGTTTAAAAAGCAAATGGTAACATTTTATTTTATTTTTTTTATCAGATGGAAGTGTTCAGATGTAAAGCAGTGGTTCCAAGCCTACTGTGTGTTATGACATGGGGAGCTGCTATAGTTCCACTTGTTAGAAATCATGGACACTGCACCAGGGAATTAATCTGAACTGGATAAAACAGTGTTTCATGTCACTGCATAGATACAGTCACAAAGCTTGTGAAAATTAATTTAGTTCTGTGCACCCATGTATGTATTTTCAATTTAGTTTTTTTCTCCCTCTTTTATGTTAAGTAATTACATATGCAGATTAAATGAGCTATAGAGCTACAGAGTGTGCTGCTCTTCGAAAAACAGGACAAAAGATTCACAGGAAAGAAAAGATGACATCAGTTAATCCAGTGGTTCAATTAAGATCACTCTTCCACAATATACGTCTCGGAGTGCCTGGTGTTTGAAAATGATAGGGATAATACAACAATTCCCAGTAGTGTATGAGCACTGATACAAACACTTTCTCCTCAGAATAGGACAGATAGAGGCTCATACTAAACCTTTTTTAGTTCCAAGGCCCAATGATACCCCTTTAAAAAAACTGCCTGGAATATTTTTTTAATTTATTTAATTTATTTTAAGAGCAAGTATTACAGCAACCTTAAACTTAACTACATGCAAATCCTTCTAGACAATGATGACCAGGAATAAATCCACCTGAACTGAGAGCAAGTTTGAGACAAAGAAGATGAGGACAGCACTGTTAATCAGGTCAGAGCCCAGGCATACAGGAATTCTGAGGCTTGCTGTGAACAATCCCTGCCTTACAGCACCGCAGGGCTTGATTTAATAGACTAAGCGTTCCCTGAAACAACTCCAGGCAATAAAAATAAATTAGACAAAAATGTTAAGAAGATTAGAGGGAGGAATATAAATTTAAGATACAGGTTTAGAAACCAGCCTTAACAAACCAGATGCTGTTGCAAATTAAGTGAGATTCAATTCAAACATTCTTACAGCCCGTGTAGCATGTGTAATACGTCTTGTTCTTTTCTGACATTTTAAACAGATGAGTTTAACACTTATCTGGACGATCATTAAATTTATAAAAATTAATCGTGTGCTTTTTATTGTTAGTTTTAAATCTGGGAAAGGGTAGGAAGTCCTTAAGGTTTACATTTGGTACTTAATAGGCTTTACATTTGGTATACAACACACTGTACTTTGACTAATCTTCATATGATACAGTATCATTCAGATTTGGAACTATACTGTGGATGGCTAGTTGTCTGTTGGAAGCTGGTTCTTTGTAGTGAGGCAGATTAACAGAGGTTTTCCATTTCTGCTTGTTTTCTGTTTCCAGTTCTCATTACAGTATGTGATGGCTGTGCCATTTGAGAAATCAGACTTCTTCAGAAACCAAGCATCCTGCCTAACAATATCTACCTATAAATCCAAGGACTTCTCCTGGAAAAGCAGCCATAATATTTAGGATTTTGGGCTAAAGTAGATTAGTGATTGTTCGAGAATGATGATTACCTTATGTAATTCGAAGATAATAATATAATACATACGGTCAACTGTACTTGTATATAATTATATAAAAGATAATCCATTGTCACCAGTGACCTATTTGTGCTAATGTTGTATTTATATCTCTGCTGCTTTCAGGAATTTAAAACATGCTGATGATTTAGCCATTGAATATCAGACTGTTCATGGCAATTTATAGGGAAAAACAACACACTGGGAATACGATTCCTTAAGAATATTATGGCATGGAGACATTGATCCACAAGGAGACATGGAGATGTGAAATGCACACAGCTGTCAATATGCATTTAAAGAAAGAAATGTGTTACCTTAATTGAATTGGCTAGATGAAGGCCGAGTGTCCAGAACCTTTCCTGGTATGATGTAATGGGGTAAAAAGGAACTTTCATAAGTTAAGTCAAACGTTAAGTCAAACGTTTATCACTAAGTATTCCAAACCTTTAATCCTTGGATGTCTCTAATGAAATCTATTTAAAGATGAGATAATTGTGAGATCCAGGATTCTCAGTCACTGAACAGGAAAGGACTACTTACATTTAGACATTTGGTATGGTATTTCCCCTCTCGGTCTGAACAAATGTAATTATGTTTTCCTGTACTTGTGTTGTGTATTCAAAAATGGATAAAACTGATGACTGCTAGTTGGTGTAATCAATTAAAATATTGGGGTTTTGGTGACCACTTAGGTCTCACTGTATACCTTCCATCTGCCAGTATGTTTTCAGAAATTCACGTTTAGAAAGCAAGAGAAAGTGACTTTGAGAGAAAATTATTTTGTTTTTCTGTAAATGTTTGAGGAATGCCTGTATCAATAAAAGCACAGGAGAACATTTTTTTCCCCAAGATGCGCTTTAGCCTTTCCACTGTTTTTATTTCTTCACCTACTCTCTATCTATTAATCACGCCATACAGTAGCTTTAACCTTGATGGTGGTAGTCTTTAGACAGTTTTTAAGAAACAGAGCTGATGGCTGGTGTTCCGTCAGTTGCTAGCACACTTAAAACTTGTTGCGATGGTCCTAGGTGTGGTCTTTACCTGGCACTCCGGTCATTGACATTGTTACCTTATCTGGTTTCTAGTTTTTTATTCCCTTGCATTTTAAACCACTGCCAGTCAGTTTTTTTTCTTCCGGGTAGCCGGTTTTAGGTTTCTGAAGGGGTGTATGTTTGAATGAAAAACAAACGGTTTATATGGTCTGGAAAGAGTATCGAGCTGTTACAACGCACCGGTGCGAAGCTTAACTCTAGCGCCCACTAGAGCCCAGAGTAACGCTCAGGTGTATCACAGGTCTATATTATTACCTTTACTCTTACGATTAGCGAGGGTACGGCAGCTAAAAGCTCTAAACTGTTGTGGAAGCACAGCAATGTCACTGCTTTCTGCATTACAAAATAAAATGATATATAAATGTTGAGCATTTGAACGATCGAAGTGTTACAGTTTTCACAACCTGTCAGTCCGTGTTGGCGCAGACTCTCTCTCTCCCTCGCTCTCTCTCTCTCCCGTTAGCTGTGCGCCTGTAAGGAGAATCTCAATCAGGTCACATTTCGGTGTAGATCCTCCATCTATCTCTCCCCGAGAGGAAGGGAAGTCGGCGAGCGACAAGAAACAATCGCGTCCTCCCTACAGCGGGAACGGTCGGGAGAGCCATGGTCGGGATGAGGGATCTGGGGCGCCTTCTGGTCCCAGTCTTGGTGCTGGTGGGGTCCTCGGCGCAAGGAGACGTGAAGAGTGGCAAAGAAGCAGAGAATGCGGCGAATTTCATGGAAGATGAGCAATGGCTGTCCACCATTTCTCAGTACAGCCGCAAGATCAAACACTGGAATCGCTTCAGAGATGTGAGTCTGAAAAGCAAATTATTCCAGCTCGGTTGTGGGAGTGCACCGATAGCGGAATAAACGCCTTTCCGTGGAAGGCGACAGGTTCACAGGGAAATAAAAAAAATTAAAAAGACCGGCAATTAAATATGCGCTGTATATAGAAGAGATATCACAACAGCTGAATCTCGGTTATCTCGTTTTAGACCAAGATGACTTAATAGATTTCTTAAGTTGTAAAGTGAACGCTGGATCGCTGCTCTTAATTATTAGGAGTTGCACAGGTAGCTAAACGCTAGCCTAAGCCACCGTTACGAAACATCTTTGAATTTGTGCACCACATTACCGACCTTAGCACCGCATGGAATTACCTGTAATCAATGGAGAAAGCCGACATGTACAGAAAATGTTAGAGGGTTAAAAAGTTGTTCAAAACGTAAAACACCGAAGTTTGGATGATTTGCAAGAGTAATTAGATTAAAATTAAGTATTTTTAACAATAATCGGTTTACTAAAGGTAAGATCTTCTAAAAATTGTGATATTTTAAAAAAATTGCATTAGCATCCAAAAACGAATCAATAAAGATGCAGGAAGCAGGGGGTTTAAGTATTTTATATATAATAAGGAGAGCATTACTGGGATAGAAATATTTTGCGTATTTTCCCCACCACAAATGTGACATACATTTAGCAAATCAGTGATCATCCTTAATTTAAAAAATCACTTGCGCAATTAACTGGATAAATCTGGAGTTTCCATCTGAAGTGTTTAACATATAAAGGTTTTTTGACGAAAATAATTGTTTTAATTTGCTTAACCTGGCAGTAAATGGGAAGTGGGCAGACACCAGTATTAAGTGTGTTCTTTATTTCGGATACCAGTGAATGGGTCAGGCATGATGATGCATATATATTCTCTATATACTGTATGAAGGGTTATAACTGACTATGTCTTGAAATGTATATTAGTAATAGTAATAACAGCAGCATTTTAGGCAAAACATTCAGCAGCGTATGTGTTCCCCCAGTTTACATTGTAGTTTAATCCCAGTTTCATTTAAAAAAAAATCTTGTATTTTCTTTCCAAAATTATATTGAGATGAATGTCTAATAATCTAAGTTATGATTTGCAATAATGGCCTTCTGAGCGCCTGTTCATACAGCAGGGCATTTACTGCCTTAATCAGGTTTACAACAGCAGGACTTGAACCCACAACTCTTTAGTCTTTAACCACTACTCTGCTACTCGCTACCCTTTGAAACCTGATAGCCTGGTGATTTCTTGACCCAATGTTTTTTTTCAAACTAAAGCTGATGAAATAGTATTGGAAAATTGATTAAATTAGAAAGTAGATGCATACTGCATGAAACTGAACATTGTTTCCTCCCACCAACGGCCTGTCCAGTAGGAAGTATCATTCCCTTCAGCACGTCTGGAAACTCGCTCCAGGTGTAGCAGTCTGGTTTAATTTAGTTATTCAGTACTCATTACAGGTTAGGAAAGGGTTTTGTTTACTCTGATTGGATATTTAGTTAGTACCATTAAAGAGGTTTTATTTAATCAGGTATGCCAGTGTATTTCATTTGAATTATATTCATGGGATCTGTGTTGTAATTTGTAATTAAAGATACAAGTATTTTAAGACCCCATCCACAATATATGTCTATTATGAAAATGCAGGGTGGTTATATATAGACATTAAAAGTATTCAGCATGCTTTTGTAATTTTCCAGTAGATTTAAGTGTGGCTCCCACATGCAAGTTCACACAGTGATGTTTCATGCTAATGATTCTAACTTCTCTGAATGGGATTTAGAAAAAACAACCTCTCAAGCTGTTGATTGAAGATGTACATTTTGCGTAACTGTTGGGGGAATTAAGAAAATGGCAACCACAGAAGGATTAAGTGTAAATTACAACAGGATTATAAATGGATAGGTTTTTGCAGCTTTACATGTGTGACTTTGATATTCAAACCAGGCCTTGAGCACGTTCTGAATTCACTGATCAATATGTATTGATCGCCTCACGCCACGTCCTGCATATAAATGTGTTTTACAGCAGCGCAGCATTGAGAAGGCATTCAGGAGTGTGCTGCTGGACTTTTTTTTTGGTATCTCAATCAAAATATTTTAAAACAGCAACGTGTTGTGCTCTCTTTGGATTTGCAGTCCAGCTGAGTTATAAATTGCAGGATGTGCCTGATTAGTAGACGGTAGCATTAGCCACTTCTCCGTTGGAAGCTGAGAGGTAAAGACCGGATATTCTGCTCCCTGCAGAACTCCCAGGCATCCTCTATCAGGACACAGGTGAGGAGGGAGAAGGGCGACGCTCTGCAGGGGTGTGGTGCTGTTTGTTCAGTGGTCTACCTTTTGAAGAAGAAGGAGGAAGTGTTTTAGAAAAGAGAGCCCAGAATCCTCATGGGGAACAGCAATGGCAACAGGAGCTGCCTTGACAACACAGCGCAGTGTTTGGAGATTGTAATGAAATCCACCTCCTGTTCAGTTCAATGGCTCTATTTTGCCCCTCTCTCCATTTAGCATGGAGTACAGAGATAAGATTGATGATCAATTACCATATTTCACAATGCAAATGTGTACAGGAGTGTTTCATGAAGCAGAAAGCTAATTAGAACTCTTTTCAAAGCCTGCTTTTCCTCACTTCTTTTCTACAAGCTTAGCATATCCAGTCAGAAGAAGTTAGATATGAAATTAATTTTGAAGGTGTTTATGATTTATATTCAGCATGATTATTTATTTTGTTTTTTTTTATTCTTTAAAAAATAAAAAATATCCAGGCACATTCCTGTATTTCGTGCTTAGTGTTACAGCTCACAGTGAGCTCTTGTTGCTGTCATGGTATGTCTATATAATAAAAATCCAACCACAATGAGTATACTGCACTGTATCCTTCACTGTATACTTCACTGTATCCTTCAGTTTTTATTCCTTACAGATTGTTGCCAATATATATGTATTCCATCATGTAGATTTATGAGAGTGTCAGACACAGACAGAAAGCACTGCTATACTATGTTAATACTGTGTATACCATTTATGGTAAATAGTAATTGTAAATAAGATCATGGTAACTTACCTAATATTCTAGAATTATAGGTAAAACCAAATTTCCCAACTTTTAAAAAGATGTATAGAAACGCAATCAATGCCCATTTGTAATGTGAGCAATGCTTTCCAAAAGAAAGTCCTGTGAATCATGGAACCAAAATGTCCTAAAGCGTTGAAAATATTGCATGGATTGCAATATTGGAAGGAGGCCTTTAGTACATTCCAAAGGCTTTCAAAAATCCTTCACATGGCCTAAATACTGTAGATGCCTTCTATCAAAACGGTTAATTAACTTTAAACAAATGTTGCCAATGGCTGACTTCCTTAATGGACCAAAATGGTCTTTTCTGTACAAGTATCTTGATTTGAGGAATGGGATTGGAAGACTATGATCCCGCGATGTGGAATGCTGTCCAAATTGAAGCTACTGTGCTCATTTAATTTGTGGCCTGAGTGAGCCCTCATCTGGACCTGGGGAGGTGAAAGGCCAGTGTATTATTTCTCTGTGCCGCCCTGCATCAGTATTCTCTCGATTTATTGATGGATGGCGGAGTCACCAGAGACTGTACACTGGAATACAAAGCTTCTTTATTCTCCTGTATTTATTATCCTGACATTTGGCGGTCAGTGTTCTGCTCTCACTCCACACGGTGAAAGTGCAAACCACTGTTCACCCTATTTTATGTTACTCAGGGTTTACAGAGTGCTGTTTGTGAGGAAATTAGTAAAATATTCAATTCAACTTTATTGTCATTAAACTTCCACAGGTGCATAGTATAATGAAAAGTGTTTCTCATTAGTCACTCAGGTGCAGTATATAAATAGGACAGAAGATAAGACAATAGACAGTAACACAATAGCAATAACAGTAACATGTAATAACATAACATAAATAACATGTAATCAAGTAATCAAAACTGTGCAAAATTCCGCAAACAGAGAAAATATAACAGGACAAAAACAGTGCAAGGTAATTCTTGGAACAGTGCAAAAATATTATTACGACCGGTACAGTTTTACTGGGCTATCGAGGGGACAGTACAATTTCGGCTTACATGTGTGTGTGGTGGTGTAGGAGGACAGTCATTGTGGGTACTGGAAGACGTTCGGAGAGATCATAATATGGTGGGAGGGAGTGGGGGCGTCACCAACTCGACAGCTCTCGGGAAGAAGCTATTTTGGAGTCTAGTTGTGTGCGACTGGAGTGACCGGAACCTGAAAATATGCACCAACTGCAAACATGCTTCTTACAAAACTACTTCCAGGGAAAAATAAAGACAAAAGTCATTGCTGTGCAATACAGCTGCCAAGTGATGATTAATGATAAAAGCTGATTTGTCTCATCCAGCTTCTTATCTGAACCAGCTTCTCATGGCTGCAACCAGATTACAGTCCCCAACAAAACCATGATCTGACCAGTATCTAATCTTATCTGGAATGAACATTAGGCTATTTGTTATCAAATAGGATTAGTTGGAAATCTTAGAGCATTACAAAGCTATGTTTAGATATATGCTATGCAAGAAAATTAATGGTGTACAGAGCTGAAGCAAACCAGATCTAATTTAAATGAGATTTTAATCTTTTCTGGATCATTATTAATACTGTATATTTAAGAAATATAAAAAAGGGTTATGTGTTGAACAGCACTTATTACAATTTATGAGGTGTAGTTGCCATGCTGTACGATTGTTTGCTTTAAGTACTTCAGAAATTACAGTTTTGTATGTAAATTAGATTTAATTAGAGTATAAATGTCTGTGACATACAATAATGATAGACCGTGAGTATTGCAGATAGCATTATTTTAAATACATTAACCCCTCATAATGATAATGCTGATTCTGGTGCCTAATTGTGTATTTGCCAGCAGCTATACCACCCTGCAATACACAACTAGCAGCCCACTAAAGCTAAGCAGGTTCGGTACCTGGATGGGAGACCTCCTGGGA